TGTGTGGTTGAAGTCTCCTTTCGTTGTATAGACATTGTTTGATCTTGTTTTCGCAACTTGGTCATGTTGGCAGGAAGACTTAGAGAAACGCACTTAATCCGGAGTCCATTGTATGCATCGTCATTTCCAAACTCGGACCGTGGACGTGGCACATTCCCAGACGTGTCGCCTGCATCATAGTCGGCATCGTCAGTGAGTCTTGCCATTCTTAGCACCAAACTATAACTCGTCAAAGAGACAAGTTTGCTAAACAATTCTGCTATCATGACTACAATGGACTCCGGATTAAGTGCGTTCCTCTAAATCTTCCAAACAATATGGGCAAGTCGCAAAAACATTCCATTCAAGTTGATTGAAGTCGTCTTCCGTGAGCAAATGCATAACGAATCCCACTCAGTCCTGCGCCCAAAAAGGTCCGCTTCACGTGGACCGACTGCAGCTCCACCGCGGCTCAGTTCCCTCAACGGACTAGCCCCAGGCGAGTTAGAGACTGCAGTTCGGCCGGAATGAGAAGACCTTTCCGCCAGCAACACCGAGGGCTGTGCGCCATGTACCCGTAGGACGCCTTTCTCCACCTCATTCGGGCCAAGATGAACCGAGTCATTGCAGTGCCGCAAGCCCAATTTGCATCCAGCCCGCATGTGGCCAACAATTGAATGGCAGCCTTTCACGCCACGACGAGCCATGCGGGTCGAGTACTCTTGCTCGAGCTGCAGCACGTTTTTGTGCGCCGGCCTCGAGACGGGCCGATGAGTGCGATTCCCATTGGTCGGCCAATGAGCGTGCTTTCTATTGGTGGGCCGAAGAGGGTGATTTCTACTGGTGGGCCGTTGAGCGCGCTTTCTATTGGCCAGCACGGCGTGAAGGCCGTGAGGCCCGTCTGCACAGCCAGGCAGCTGCGTGCCTGCAGTTGGGTGTTCGCTTGTGCCCGGATTTGATGTACTCAGGCCGGAGAAGTGGCTGCGCTTCGATAACCGGCCTGTTTGAATGAGTCACCCGCGTCTGCCAATGCCTCCAGGTCCTGTTTTGGGTGAGCTTTTTGGCCAAGTTAGCCTCAACTCCGCGCCAGACTGCACTCGACAGGCCCAGCTCATAATTAATCGGCGAAAGTATGCAGACAATTTGTCTTGAAATGTGTTGTCTTGGCAATAATGCCTTGAACGTGAGCTGAAATGGCTGCTACAATCGTCTTTCTGCAAAATGCATCTTTCACATTTTTCAGCAAAAAGGATACC